TGGGGCGCCCAGCAACGGAGGAGCCGCGGCGATCGGGAGGCTGCGGGCAACGGTCGAGCGGCTCGAGGCGCTGCAGGCTGGGCCACCCGACGGCGTCGACAGCTGCTTCGCGGACGTCGCGGCCAACCAGTTGGAGGCGAAGAGGGCTGAGTTGGCCAGCGCCCAAAAGGAGGCAGCGGAGCAGAAGGCCTCCGCAATGCCGCCGTCGGCTCTGCTGCACAAGGAGGCGAACGCCATCAGCAAGGAAGAGAAGCGGCCCCGCTCAGCCCGCCAGGCCCTCGAGCAGAAGCAGGCGGCGCGGGGCCTCGCTGAGGTCCAGCTCCAGAGGGCCCAGGACGAGCTCGCGGCGCTCGACGGCGAGGTGGAGGGGGCCAGCAGGGCGCTCCAGGTCCTCAAAGAAGCAGCCTGTGAAGAGGCGGAGGAGCGGCGGCGCCAGCGCGCAGCCGAGTGGGCTGGGGTCAGCCATGTGCCAGGGCTCCTCGCGCAGCTGGACAAGCTGCCAGAGGCCTGGGGCTCCAGCAACTTCGAGGTGGCATGGGCGGCCATGCGCACGTAGGTGGGGGCGGTGCGGGCGCAGCTCGCGGTGCCCCCGCCAGCCCCCGAGCGAGCGCCGTGGGCCGAGTCCTGCCCCATGGACGAGATCAGCAGCGACGATGGCGAGCTCGCAGGCGGCCGCGTGCCCTGGCCGCCGCAGACCGCAGCGGAACGTGGCCAAGCCGAGCGGCGCGTCAGCGCGCTCGGCGAGTGGCCGCATGTGTCCCAGGCATGCAAGAAGGAGCTGGTCGCTGAGGCTGCGGACCTGGCCCCTCTGGCTGCTCGCCCTGCTGGCCACGCAGCTGGGGGCAGCAGCGGAGGAGTGCAGCCAGGGCAGGCGAGCGCCTAGCGGGGCCAGTGCGGCGGGGCAGCGCCTGCGCGCGAGCAGCGGCGCCGAGGAGGAGGCGCTGCCCCAGCCCCTGGGCGCCCGTGCCGCCATGCCGGTCTTCTTTCCCCAGTCGGACGGAGGAGTCCGACCGGTAGTGAACGGCCCGCGGCCCGTGCGCATCTGGGGCAGCCCGAGGCAGCCCATCGGCGCGCTGTGGGAGGCGGAACACGAGCACCGCTTCTTTTGGGGCAAGATGGACCGCAAGTTTGACACGGCAAGCTGGCTGCGCAGCGCCTGTGCCGCCATTGCGCGAGTGAGGGGGGTGGCCTCCGCCAGCCTCTGCCTGGACATCACCAAGCTCTACGAGAGCCTACGGCGCGCCTTCCTGCGGCGGTGCGGAGTCGAGCATGGCTTCGACCTGTGGGTACTTCGAGGTATGCACGTGCTCTACCAGGCGGGCACGGGGAAACGCAGGGCTGGGCTCTCTTCTGTGAGACCTTGCAGGCCAGGAACCTCTGCGCGGGCGCCGCCGTCGCGGGGCGAGGAGTGCGTCAGAGCCGAGTGCGAGCCCCTGGAGCCGCGCGCCGTTCGCGCGGACCGCCCCCGTGCCGCGGGAGTGGGGCTGGGCCCGTTCCACAAGGATGGGCCTGCGGCCAGCGCGGCGTGGAATCGCTCGGGGCGCTCGGGGGCGCGGCAGACCACGCTGAAGCACCACCGCGCGCAGGCGGAGATCGTGCAGGAGCTCGGGCGCAGGTTCTGTCGGGCCGCCAGCATCTGGCACGGCATCGCGGCCGGAGATGGCGAAGGGCTCGTTCCTGCTACTGAGCGGCGCCAGGTACGGTTTGCCACCGCCGAGGAGCCCCGGGCGGCGGGGGGTGCCGCTGGCGCTGGGCCGATAGCCAAGTGGCCACGCCTGGAGAGCGCTCGCTCGACAGGCAGCAGTTCGGCCGCTCTCTCGGCCAGAGCTGTGGCCTTCAGCATCCTGGGGCACGCCCTGCCCTGCGCCTGCGCTGGGGAAGGTGAGGGCGCCCAGGAGCTCGAGGCGTGCTCCATGTGCGGCGCCTACGCGACGCTGGGCGGCCGCTCAGGGGAGAGGCCTCGCCTCGAGGAGCGCTGCCCAGGCGGCGAGGCCGACGAGGCGGGCAGGAACCAGCGCAGCCTGTGGCCACGGGGGCTCCATCCAGGAGGCAGGATGCAGGAGGAGTCACGAGCTGCCAGGCACGAAGTGAAAGGATCTGGCATCCCTGCTCTGCGCTCGCAGGGGCCTTTGCCCGAGCATACGCAGGAGGGGTACCTGGAGTGGCTTGGCATCGCAGCGGAGCCAGCAGTCGACTCCTCGGCCACTGCGAGCAGTGCGGGCAGCGCCCCAGCGGCAGCCGCAGAGCTGAGGTGGCGGAGGGACTTGGCGAGGCCCCCGCGGATGCGCCCGTCGCGACGGCCGTTGCCAGCCAGCCTCTGCGGCGCCCAGCCGCGGCGAGAGCTGGGCCCCTTGGGGCCCTCGAGATCGCCGAGGAGGAGCTCGCCGCCGCGGCCAATGCAGCAGTCGGCACCCTGGAGGACCGCAGGGTGTGCCGCCGCCTGGCGCGCCGTGGCGATCCGACCGTGAGTGATGGAAATATGTGCATCGGTGAGGCTCGCGCCAGCTGCTCCCCGTGGTGAGTAGGCTTCCGTCGCCCTCGGTGCTCGCTTGGGACTCGGTTTCTCTCGGGAGCGTGGGTCCCGTTTGGCCCTGTCCGTGTTTTCCCGCTTGCCTTGAAGGCACCGTCTTTAGTTTTAACTTTAACGCGCAGGGGCAAGGCAGACCACACAGGAGCACGAGGCGCAGGTCAGGACACACAGAATACATAATTAGGAGCACGGCAGAAAACACAGGAGCTCAGTAGACCACAGGAGCGCGGCAGATTACACAAAACACATAAGATCACAGCAAAACAATCAGGAGCACAGTAGAACACACAGGAACCTGGCAGAACACATATGAGCACGGCAGAACACACAGGATAACGGCAGAGCAGGACCATGGCAGAACACACAGACACGGCAGAACACGCATGAACACGGCAGAACATCCAGAACATGCGTTCATAACGTTTTCCACGCAGCCGCACGCGCAGGCACACGCACGCAGGCACATGCACACACATGCACGCGCACACGCACACGCACATATACACGCACACACACACACACGCAATCACACGCACACACAGGGAGGCAACGTGCGTTCATGCAGACCGCAGGAGCACGGCAGAGCAGCACGGCACAACACAGCAGTGCCGCAGACCACCGCGCACGGACGCACATGCACATATTCCGCGCACGCACGCGCGCGCGCAAACGCACTCACGCCGCGACGGATGTGCGCAGCGCATACTAAGAACGTCGGATATCCCATAGGCACATGACACAGAAGGACGCTCCCCGTTCTTGTCTGGTCAGGTTGCATCTTGCCATTCGTTAGTGGATCCCCCAACAATGATATCCTCACAACCATGATATCTCCGCGACATCGCGTTTATCACACACAAGCGTTTCGCTCAATATATCTTCGAACAGTTGATCGCCGCGATGCGTTTCGCCAGATACATCTTCGCAAACGTGAGATGTTGACGGAGGTGTGCAGCCGCTTATTCAAACGGCGTTTGTGCTAGGAACATCCTCAGCAAATGCCCGGCAACACGGCGGGCCAGAAAACACAACACGGCAGACGATTTGCATTTCGTTGGGGACATCATCAAATCATGGGATGTTCTCAACATCGTCAAGTGCTTCAAGAGGAAGACACGACAGCCCCAAACACATTTCAACATGGCTCCAACAGAGCCCCTGAGGAGTGCTGAAAATGACGATTTCGCTAGGGACATCCTCGAACAATGAAAAACACAAGCAACAGCATCGTTTTGACAACTGCTGTTCTAACATCGTCTTGGGACCGCTCTTGACAAGGCTTCCGGACGGCCCAATCCAGGCTTTAAGCAATGACGATTTCACTGGGGGCACTTTCATGAAATAGATGTGTGCGTGACATCGCATTGGCATTTTTTTTTGGAGATGGCATCGAGGCAGCCCCAAACGACCCCAAACGAGGCCCACTATGACCCCAAGAGCGCCCTCGAGATTCCTCAAGCTTTGCATTTCGGTCGAGACATCCTCGCGCAACTGAGGTGATGGAGCGCTTCGCCAGAGACATCCACCAGGAAATGAACGTCGCGAATTTATCAAACGTCTTAGAGTGGGGCTCTCGCGTGCGACATCCTCGAAACCGTGAGATGTTGAAAAGGTTGAGACCATGCGTGTTTAACTTGAAAGTTTCGCATGAGGCGTCGTCAGACAATGGGCAGGAACACGGCAGCCCAACGCGCAGAAGCACGGCAGGACGCGCGAGAACACGGCAGAACACACAGGAGCACGGCAACACACGCAGGAGCACGGCATAACCCAAATAACGCACGGGAACACTGCATAACACATAGGAGCACAGCAGACCACACAGGAGCACGGCATGACGCACAGTAATACGAGGAACACGGCAGAACACACATAATACATGGCAGAACACACAGGAGCACGACAGACCACGCAGGTGCACGGCATAACACACACACACACAGAACACACACGAACACGGCCGAACACACAGGCGCACGGCAGAACACACATGAGCACGGCAGAACCCAAACACCATACGGGAGCACGGCAGAAGAAACATGAACACAGCATAACACACAGGAGCACGGCACAGCACACAGGAACACAACAAATACGGCAACACACACATAATACCTGGCATATGACAGGAGCACAGCAGAACACGCAGGTGCACGGCAAAACACACAGAATACACACAGGAACCTGGCAGAACACACAGGAGCACGACAGAACACACAAGAACACGGCATACCACAGGAACAGGAGGAACACGGCAGAGCATGGCAGAACACACAGGAGCATGGCAGAACACATATGAGCACAATCCGTAGCCATTTTGGCTCCAGGCCATGGATCACCCGACGACCGCAAGTCCTCCCCGGCGTTCCGAGCGCGAGGGTCTCCTCGCTTTGGGCCAGTGCATTTTTTTGTTGTGCTCCCTGCATTCGCGGCGCGGAGGCGCGACCTGCCAGCCGGCGTCGCCTGGGCCATGGCGCGCTCCTCGCGGGGTGGCGGCAGCGGCGGCAGGCGCAGCAGGACGTGCTGGATGTGCAGCTGCGGTGGGTGGAACTGGGACTGGCGCACCACGTGCCTTGGCTGTGGGCACGCGGCCCCGCCATGGGCGCTGGAAGCGGCAGCAGCCAAGGCCAAGCCCCAGGCGGATAAGGGCGGCTGGGTGGATCAGCCGCGCGGGCGCCGTGCCCAGCGGCAGGCCCGCAGTGCTGCAACGAGTGCGGCAACCTCCAAGTCGCAGACCTCGGAGTCGGGCGCCAGTGGGGCGCCCAGCGGCAGCGGCGCCACGGCGATCGAGAGGCTGCAAGTGGCGGTCGATCAGCTGGATGCGCTGCAGGCGGAGCCACCCGACGGGGTCGATTGCTGCTTCACCGACGTCGTCGCCAGCCAGCTGGGGGCCCAGCGCGCCGAGCTGGCAGAGGCCCAGCGGGCCGCAGCAGAGCAGAAGGCGTCCTCCATGCCGCTGTCGACGATGCTCCATAAGGAGGCGAACGCCATCGGCAAGACGGAGAAGCGCCTCCGAGCAGCGCGCCAGAGCCTGGAGCAGAAGCAAGAGGCGCGTGGCCTCGTCGAAGCCCAGCTGCAGAAGGCCCAGGAGGAGCTGGAGCAGCTCGACGCGGAGGTGGAGGAGGCCAGCCGTGCGCTCCACGCCCTCGAAGAGGAGGCCCGAGTGGGGGCCGCTGCGCAGCTGCGCCAGCGCGCGGCCGAGTGGGCAGGGGCCAGCCAGGTCCCAGGGCTCCTCATGCAGCTGGACAAGCTGCCCGAGGCGTGGGGCTCCAGCAACTTCGAGGTGGCTTGGGCGGCCATTCGCTTCCAGGTGGAGGCGGTGCGTGCGCAGCTCGCCGAGGCCCCTACCGTCCCGAGGAGAGTGCCCTGGGCGGAGTCGGCGACCACGCAGGAGGCTGCGGGCCTTGGCAGCCGCAGTGCGCCGCGGAGCGTGGCCAGGCCGAACGACGCGGCGACGCCCGCGGCGAGTGGCCGACGGTCGCCCAGGCGTGCAAGCGGGAGCTGGCAGCCGAGGCTGAGGACCTGGCCTCTCTTGCTGCTCGCACAGCTGGCCGCGCAGCTAGGGGCCGCGGCGGAGGCGAGAGGCCACGGCAGTAGTGCTTGTAGCCACGCCAGAGGCGCTCAGCCTAGGCAGCAGGAGGGCGGCGGCACCGACGCTGCCCGCATCGGCGGCAAGCGGCCCCTCGACCTCGGGAGTGCGCAGGCGCCGCCAGCGCCAGGCCTGGCGGCGTCGACAGCTCAGAATGTTTGCTGCGGACTGGAGAAGCTCGGGTGCAACGGCAACGCTCGGAGGAGGAGCCCGGAGGCGATCAAGGCCTTGGACTCCCGCAACAGGGCCCCGCCGCACCTTGTGATGCCCCAGGAGTCCAGCCTGGCTCCGCACCGCCTGGAGGAGGCCAGCGGAGCAGCGCGGTGCATGGGATATACGGAGTTCCTCCACGCGTCGGCGCCCACGGACAAGGAGGGCCCGCCTGGCGACCTCAGGCGGCGTAGCGGCCTCGGCATTGCTTGATTGGAGTCACAGTGTCCGCTGCGCCAGGCCTGCCGCTGCGAGCGTGCTCGCTGTGCCTCCAGGGCGCCCTGGGACCCATGGGCTCCAACCTCGACATCTACGCCACCTTCGGCGACGCGGTGCTCTTTCAGAGGCCGCGTCTCGTTTCCGTCGTGGGCCTGGCGGCCGAGTCTTTCAGCGCCAACGTGGCAGGTTGGGCGGGGTGTGCGTGTGCCACCACTGGGGCCAAGCTGCCTGTGCTGGCAGCCCTCTGCGCCGCCCCAGCGGGCGCCAGGCCGCCGGTTGTCGCTCGCGACGTCGTCGGTGACTTCGCGCTGCAGGCCGTGGGCGCGGAGCAGCTGGTGGCCGCGCTGCTCGGCAGCGCTGGGCTGAATGTGGCCCGCCGCCTCCGTGTGCAGCACCTTCCTCTCGGTGCTGCCAAGGCGGCCCCCCTCGCCTCGAGCCCCAGCCTTGGTCGCCAGCTCGGGGTGCGCTGGGAGCTGCAAGGATGGACCTCGCGTAAGGCCCTGCAGACCAGGAACCTCGACACGGACGCCGCCAACACGAGGGGAGGAGTACATGGGGGCCGAGTCCGAGCTGCAGGGGCGCCTCGCCGAGTGCGCAGGCTGGACCCGATCCACAAGGCTGGGCCCCGGCCAGCATGGTGTACAGTCGCACAGGCACGGGCAACGCGGACGGCAAGCTACGCAGATGGAGGCTTGCTGCCTGCCGCAGCGCAGGAGCGCTCCCCATGGGTGCGGGGCGAGTGCTGTGCATGCGCGGTGCCGACCTCAGGAGGGGGCGCGCCCAAGATCCCGCTGCCCTCACGGCAGGCCACGCAGTCCAGATAATGGCGGGCCTGATACAGACAGGCGTGCTGCTGCACAGGATGATGGAGCGGGGGCTGGAGGCGGCGGCGACCAGGCGCGCAAGAGCTGGCACGCCATGGAAGCACTGCACCTCCCCCTTCGGCGCGGTGGTGCCGACCCGTGCGCGGATCGGCTGGCACTTCAAGTCCGAGCGGTGCAAGGTCACGGACTCTGGCGTCGAGCTCGGCCTCATGCACCTGGGCGCTTGGCGTGCATCCGATCGTTGCGAGATGCGGAAGCTCAGCCACGACACCCGCCTGCAGCGGCCACTGCAATGGGACGCCATCGGATGCCTGCTCGGGCCAGACGGCAGGCCCAGAGTGAGGGAGCATAACGTCCTCGGGGCCTGCATCTCCAACACGCACTGGAGGCAGGCCAGGCTCCTTGATGTGCTGGAGGCCCAGCGGCGCGGCAGAGTGTCGGCACGGCTGAAGCAGTGTGCAGAACGAGCGCGGGCCCTAGGTGACCGCGCAGGTGACGACTTCGGCCGCTGCTGGTTGCCCGCACCAGAGCCACCGCAGGGTCACCACACCGACGCCATGTGGATGCGATGGGCTTGCAGGCCAGCCGATGATAAGCTCGACGGCAAGCTGTACCTCGATGGCTCGGCGCTCGAGCCGCAGTTCGGCGCCGTGCGGTGTGAGGGCTGGGCCATAGCGCAGTGTGGCGACGACGGCAACCCGGGGACAGGGGTCTACGGCACCGTCTGGTGCTACCGCTGCCCGCAGCAGACGGCCAAGGACGGCGAGGGCGTTGCTGCCTGGATGATCGCCACCTTGGAGGGGCCAGCAGTGGAGGAAGTCAACATCGACTGCAGCTCCGCAGTGTCCTGCCTGCGGAGAGGGCGTGCGGACGCCGCCGTGCCCAGCAGGGCGAACGCCCACCTATGGCGCAGGATCCTGGCAGCCTTCGAGCCAGGTGCTTTCGAGGTGAGCAAGGTGCCAGCCCCCTGGCTGAGGCAGGCAGTGCTCGGCGGGCGCCTGACGGAGGCCCAGAGGCACGGCATCGAGCACGCCGACCACCTCGCCGAGATGGGCGTCCAGGCGTATGCAGTGAACAGGTGGACGTTTGGCGTGCACCATGCGCTGGCGGAGATCGTGCAGGAGCTCGGGCGCGGGATCTGGTGGGCCGCCATCATCGGGCAAGGCGTCGAGGCCAGGGATCGCGAAGAGCTCCCTCCTGCTGCTGAGCGGCGCCAGGTACGTTGCGCCGACGCCGAGGGGTCTCAGGCAGCGGGGGATGCCACGGGCGATGGGCCGATGGCCAAGCGGCCGCGCCTGGAGAGCGCCCGCTCGACAGGCAGCAGCTCGGCAGCCCTCTCGGCCAGTGCAGTTGCCTTCAGCGTGCTGGGACATGCCTTGTCCTATGCCTGCGCTGGAGAAGGGGGGGGCACCCAGGAGCTCGTGGCATGCTCCAAGTGCGGCGCCTACATGACGCTGGGCGGCCGCTCAGGGGTTAGGCCTCGCCTCAAGGAGCGGTGCCCAGGCGACAAGACCGACGCGGGCGGCAGGAACCAGCGCAGCCTGTGGCGGCGAGGACTCCACCCTGGAGGCAGGAGGCAGGAGGGGTCACGGGCTGCCAGACACAGAGTGAAAGGAGAGGGCATCCCAGCACTGCGCTCGCAGGGTCCAGTGCCTGAGCACGCGCAGGAGCGGTGCCTGGAGTGGCTTGGCACTGCAGCGGAGCCAGCTGCAGACTCCTCGGCCACTGCGAGCAGTGCAGGCAACGCCCCAGCGGCAGCTGCAGAGCCGCAAGTGGCCGAGGGCCCAGGAGAAGCCCCGTCGGATGCGGCCGTCGCTGCGACCGCTGCCAGCCTGCCCCTGCGGCGCCCAGCCGCAGCGAGAGCTGGGCGCCTCGGAGCGTTCGGGGTCATCGAGGAGGAGCTCGCCGCCGCGGCCGGCCCTGCAGGGGGCGCCCGGGAGGGCCGCAGGGTGCGCCGCCGCATGGCGCGCCGTGGCGGCCCGACCGTGAGTGAGTAAAGGGTTGCATCGTTGTGGCTCGCGCCAGCTGCTCCATTTGGGAGCAGGCTTCCGTCGCCCTCGGTGCCTTGTGGGACTCGGCGTCTCTCGGGAACGCGGGTCCCGTCTGGCCCTGTCCGTGTGTTTCTTGTCACTTTTGCCTTGAACGGCCCCGCCTTTGATTTTAACTTTAACGCATATGAGCACGGCAGGCAACACAGGAGCACGGCATAACACACAAACCACACATTGGAGCACGGCAGGACAAACAGGAACGCGGCAGAACACATGAGCACGGCAATACACAGGAGCACAGCAACACACACACAGAGGTGCACGGGAGAATTGATTTCAGAACACGCAGGATCATGGCAGACTACATATGAGCAAGGCAGAACACGCAGGATCACGAGGAGCACGGCAGAACACACCGAGTACATAGGAGCACAGTAGATCAGACAGGAGCATGGCATAACACATAGGAGCGCGGTATATCACACAAAACGCATAAGAACACGGCACACCAAACAGCAGCACGGCAGAACGCACAGGAGCACGGCAGAAAACACAGGAGCACGGCAGAACACATAGGACCACGTCACAGCAGGACCATGGCAGAACACAGGAACACGGCAGACCACACAGGAGTTTCCGTAGCCATTTTGGCTCAAGGCCGTGGAGAACCCGACGACCGCGAGTCGTTCGCGGCGCTCTGAGCGCGAGGGTCTCCGCGCTTTGGGCCAGTGCAATTCGTGTTTGTGCTCCCTGCTCTCGCGGCGCGAAGGCGCAGGCCCCCGGCCAGCGCGGCAGTGGCCGTGGCGAGGTCCCCGCGCGGCGGTGGCAGCAGCAGGCCCAGCAAGTCCTACTGGATGTGCAGCTGCGGCGGATGGAACTGGGATTGGCGCACCTCGTGCCTGGGGTGCGGGCATGCGGCCCCGCCCTGGGCTCTGGGGGCGCTCCCAGCCAAGGCGAGGCCCAAGGCGGACAAGGGCGGCTGGGTTGACCAGCCACGTGGACGCCGTGCCCAGAGGCAGGCCCGCGGCGCGGCCTCGCGGGCAGCCTCCACCAAGTCGCAGACCTCGGCGTCGGCGGCGAGTGGGACGCCCAGCGGTGGAGGCGCCGCGGCGATCGAGAGGCTCCAGGCGACAGTCGAGCAGCTCGAGGCGCTGCAGGCCGAGCCCCCTGACGGAGTGGACGGCTGCTTCACCGACGTCGTGGCCAGGCAACTGGAGGCGAAGCGTGCCGAGCTGGTCAAGGCCCAGAAGGCAGCAGCGGAGCAGAAGGCCTCTTCCCTGCCGCAGGCGACGCGGCTCCGCAGGGAGGCGAACGCCATCAGCAAGGGGGAGAAGCGGCTCCGAGCAGCCCGCCTGGAGCTCGAGCAGAAGCAGGAGGCGCGCGACCTCGTCGAGGCCCAGCTCCAGAAGGCCCAGGAGGAGCTCGCGGAGCTCGACGCGGAGGTGCAGGAGGCGAGCTGTGCGCTCCAGGCGCTCGAGGAGGCAGTCCGCGAGGAGGCGGAGACGCTGCGCCGCCAGCGCGCAGCCGAGTGGGCAGGTGCCAGCCAGGTGCCAGGGCTCCTCCTGCAGCTGGAGAAGTTGCCTGAGGCGTGGAGCTCCAGCAACTTCGAGGTGGCCTGGCCAGCCATTCAGGCCCAGATGGAGGCAGTGCGGGCGCAGCTTGAGGGAGGCCCTGCAGCCCCCAAGCGTGCGCCGTGGGCTGAATCCTGCCCTATGGAGGAGATCAGCAGCGACGATGGCGATCTCGCGGCTGGCAGCAGCCCCTGGCAGCCCCAGCCAGCCGCAGGGCGAGGCCAAGCAGAGCGGCGCGGCAAGGCGCTGTGCGAGTGGCCGGCGGTGGCCCAGGCATGCAAGCGGGAGCTGGCAGCAGAGGCAGCGGACCTGGCTCTCTTGGCTTCTTTTCTTCCTGGCAGGTCCGCTGGGGGCCAGGTCGGAGGGGGGCAGCCAGGGCCAGCGAGGGCCTAGCGCAGCCTGTGCGGCAGGCCTGCGCCTGCACGAGAGCGGCGCCGAGGGGGTCGAGAGCAACCCGGTAGGCCTCCGCAGCGTGGGCGTCCGCGACTCGCCCAGGGGCCAAGAGCGCGCTTCAGGGCCCAGCGGTGACCTCGTCCTCCTGAACGCCGAGGTGAACGTGTTTGGGGCCGTTGAGTTCGGCACTAGCGAGTGGGGCGACCTCAGTGACCAAGCTGGTGTACATGGCGACCCTGAAGCAACTTCAGTGCTGCAGCGGCGCCTCGCGAGCTCCCAGAAGCAGGATAGCGACGAGAGCTCAGCCTCCTGGAGAGCACGGGCCAAGCAGGCCAGGCAGAAGGGCGGCAGGCTCGCCCGCAGTTGTACTAAGGCGGTGCCGCCCCTGCCAGTGGTGTACTCAGAGGCCAGCAGGCCCGTGGCAGGCATGATGGCAGTCTGAATGCAGAAGGCCAACTGGCAGGCCCCTATGCAGCAGGAGGGCATCAGGTCTGGAGCTGGAGTCGGCAGCTGGGACGTCCGAGGCTCGACGTTGCCGCCCCTCAGCCTGAAGATGCTTCAGGTGGTTTGCAAGCGCCCGCCGACAGCGGGCCTGGAAGCTGGCCAGCTTCCCACGTGGCAGCTGCTGCTACCCCCCTCGGCCCTGCAGTTGCGCGGCCTGGTCCTCTTGGAGGCATGCGAGGAGCAGCCCCAGACCCTCGAGGCCGCAGCAGGTGAGCGCCGTGCCCTGCCTGTCTACGCGGTGGTGCGGACCCTTGGGATCGGCGGCTGGCACTTGGAGTCCGAACGGTGCATGGTCATGGACCTCGGCGACGCGTTCAACCCCAGGTTCCTCGAGCTGCGGGTGATGGGCGCGGGAGCAAGCACGCCCGCTCAGCAGCAGGCCTGCAGCCGCCATGAGAGGCGGGTCCCCTTCTGCAGGCCCCACTGGCTTCGGCAGTGGTTCGGAGACGCCATCGGGCTCGTGCTCAAACCAGGAGTCGGGTGGTACATGTGTGTGCGGCGTGCGCGCGGAGGTGGGGCAGGCGGATTCGACAGCGAGCAGCTCATCAATGGCCCGGACTGGAGCAGCGGAGGGCACCCGCCTGCTGGCGTGATCGGCCAGGCGCAGTCAGTGGCAGCGTCGGTGCCCCAGCGGGCTGATGTGGCCCCAGGCCGCGGCGCTCCTGCCATGCGGCCCCGCCTGGAGGACAGCCGCTCGACTGGGGGCAGTGTGGCCGCCCTCTCGGCCACCGCGCTAGCCTTCAGCGTCCTGGGGCACGTGCTCAGCTATGCCTGCGCGGGCGAAGGCGAGGACGCCCAAGAGATCGTGGCGTGCACCAAGTGTGGCGCCTACAAGGTGCTGGGCGGCCGCGCAGGAGGTAAGTCGCGCCTGAAGGTGCAGTGCCCAGGGCCCAGCTACCTGGCCAACGGGTCGGGCAGGAACCAGCGCAGCCTGTGGGAGCGTGGGCTACACCCTGGTAGCAGACCTCGTGCGGACAAGCAGAGAGTTAGAGCAGAGGGCATCCCTGCTCTGCGTTTGCAAGGGCCAGTGCCAGGTTACGCCCAGGAGCGCTACCTGGAGTGGATAGGCATGGAGGCGGAGCCCGCGGGCGGAGCCTCGGCCGCGGCCAGCAGATCGGGCAGCGGCCCAGTGGGGCCCGCGGCTGCGCAGGAAGTGGGGGCGGCGGCAGCCAGCCTGCCCCATCAGTTGCCTGGGCCGAGCGCGGGCGCCCTCAGCGCTGGTGAGGCATCAGGGGAGGAGCTCGCAGCCGCGGGAGCCGCGCCCAGCGGCGGCCTGGTGAGCTGCAGGGTCCGCCGCCGCCTGGCGCGCCGCGGCTCGGAATACTTGGAGTTCTACCTGGATGGGGCTCAGCGGTGAGGAGGAGCCTACAGGCAGAGCCTCAACCGCGTCCAGCAGCTCGGGCAGCGGCAGTGCAGACAGCGGAGGCAGCGGAGGCGGCGGAGGCGACCGCCGCGAGCAGCGCGGCGTACGGAAGGCAGGTGAGCCGCAGGGTCAGCCGCCTGCTGGCGCACCGCGGCTCGTCGTCCGTGAGCGAGTGAGTGAGGATAAGCATCGTTCGCTCGTGTGTTGCCCCAGTGTGAGTAGGCACGCGAGGCGCGCTCTGCAGTGTGGGGGCTCCTGTGTCCCGTCACAGTCGAGTTCCCGTTGAGCGCTGGCCCAAGGCGGCCCCGCGCGGTGGCCGAGAGGCGGCCCAAGGTGGCCCTCTCGGGGGGGTGGCCCTGCTGGGCCCCCGCGGGTGGCGGCCCTTGGCGGCCCCTCTCGGGCTGGCGTGTCTTTGGCCTTTTGGCCCGCCACTTTGCCTTCAAGGCCCCGTCTTTAACTTTAACGGCCAGTGCACTCGTTTGTTCTCCTTGCTTTCGCTGCGCAGAAGCGCAATCGCTCAGACCGTGCGCCTGGGGCCATGGCGCGCTCCTCGCGAGGCGGCAGCAGGGGCAAGCGCAGCAGGCCGTACTGGATGTGCAGCTGCGGAGGTTGGAGCTGGGACTGGCGTACCTCCTGCCCCAGCTGTGGGCACGCGGCGCCGCCATGGGCCACGGGGGCAGCGCCGGCGGCGGAGAAGCCCAAGGCCGACAAGGACGGCTGGGTGGACCAGCCGAGGGGGCGCAAAGCCCAGCGGCAGGCCCGCAGCGCGGCTTCGCGAGCAGCGTCCGCCAAGTCGCAGACCGCCAAGTCGCAGACCTCGGCTTCAGCAGCCAGTGGGGCGCCCAGTGGCGGTGGAGTCACGGCGATCGAGCGGCTACAGGCGACGGTCGAGCAGCTGGAGGCGCTGCAGGCAGGGCCGCCCGAGGGCGTCGACGGCAGCTTCACCAGCGTCGTGGCCAGCCAGCTGGAGTCGAAGCGGGCTGAGCTGGCCAAGGCCCAGCAGGCAGCAGCGGAGCAGAAGGCCGCCTCCATGCCGAGGTCGACGCTGCTGCACAAAGAAGCCAACGCCATCAGTAAGTCGGAGAAGCGGCTCCGCGCAGCCCGCCAGGACATGGAGCAGAAGCAGGTGGCGCGCGACCTCGCGGAGGCCCAGCTCCAGAAGGCCCAGGAGGAGCTGGCGGAGCGGGACGGCGCGTTGGAGGAGGCCAGCAGGGCGCTCCAGGTCCTCGAGGAAGCTGCCCGTGAGGAGGCGGAGGCGCGGGAGCGCCAGCGGGCAGCAGAGTGGGCAGGAGCCAGCCAGGTCCTAGGGCTCCTCACGCAGCTGGATAAGCTGCCAGAGGCCTGGGCCTCCAGCAACTTCGAGGTCGCCTGGGCGGCCATCCGCGCCCAGATGGAGGCAGTGCGAGCGCAGCTGGCTGGGCCCCCCCCCTTGGCCCCCACGCATGCGCCGCATGCGGAGTCCTGCCCCGTGGGCGAGATCAGCAGCGGCGACGGCAACGACGGCAACCTCGCAGGCGGCGGCGGCCCCTGGCTGCCCCAGGCCGCATCTGAGCGCGGCCAAGCCGAGCGGTACGGCAACGCGCTCGGCGAGTGGCCGCAGGTGGCGCAGGCCTGCAAGCGGGAGCTGGCAGCCGAGGCGGCGGACCTGGCCCCTTTGGCTGCTCGGCCCGCTGGCCACGCTGCTGGGGGCAAGGGCACAGGAGGCCCATCAGCCCAGGGGCAGGCCCTGTGAGGCCCGCGCTGCGGGGCCACGCCAGCTTGGCGGTGGGTGCGCCGTGGCGGCGGGCCTGCGCTGCGCCCTGGGGCCCAAAGGGGCCAGCCTCAGCATCTTCGCAGCCTTCGGCGACATCGAGCTCTCCGCGGGCGTGCCCTGGCTGGAGCAGGGCAACTCCGACATGGAGCCAGACGTGCTGCCCGAGTTGGGACGGCTCAGTGGGCTTGTCCGCCCAGTCTGTCTCCCTGGCGACGCTGCCGCAGTTCGCCGACGCCGCGAGGAAGGAGCCTTTCAGGTGCCCAGCCGCGTGGAGTGCTCTCGCTGGCCGGTGGAGCCTTGCGTCTGGGCCTGGGAGGTGGGCCCCCACCAGTGCGCCCCCAAGGAGGCGGCTTGCCAGTGGATTCAGATCGGCGTGTGCACCCTGGTGGGGATCCACGGCGTCAACGACAGTGACCTGCGCGAGTCCCTGGGGCAGGCAGAGAGGCCCATGGCGGCCAGCGCGGCCCTCGGCGTGGCGCACAGACGCGAGTACTGCCACGGAGACTCGGCCCCCGCCTGCGCCATGAGCCTGGCCCTCGGGGTAGTGCGGCAGGGGCTCACAGCTGACTGGAAGCGGCACGGGCTGCCCTCGCGCGGGACTCGGTACTTTTGGCATGAGGGGCTTTGGCTGGATGACGTGGAGGCGGCAACCTCAGCAGCCTGCGTGGAGAACGTGTTCGGGGCCCTTGAGTTCGACACTAGCGAGAGGAGCGACCTCGGTGGCCAAGCTGGAGTACTTGAGCGCCTCGAGGCAATGACAGAGATGTTGGGCCCGCCGCAGCCTGGCGGGCTGCCGCGCGGGATGCGCGCTGTGAGTTCGGAGGAGGCAGCAGCCAGGCGCGCTGGCGGCACCGCAAGGAGGCGCTGTGCCTCGCCCACCGTTGCGGTCGCGCAGCCCCTGGCGCAGCGCAGTTGGTACCTCGAGTCGGAGCGGCGCAAGGCAGCGGGCCCCGATGGCGAGATCGAGTCCGCGCTCCTCGGGCCCCAGGCGCTGTGCATCAAGGATGTCGGCGGACTCGACAGCGAGCAGTGCGGCCTTGGCTCGGCCCCGAGCAGTGGAGGGCCCCCGCCTGCTGGCGGGATCGGCCAGGCGCGGTCCGCGGCGGCAGCGGAGCCCCACCAGGCTGGAGAGGCCCTCGGCGGCGGCGCCCCTGCCACGCGGGCCCGCCTTGAGGGCAGCAGCTCGACGGGGAGCGGCACGGCCGCCCTGTCGGCCACCGCTGTCGCCTTCAGCGTCCTGGGGCTCGTGCTCGGTCACGCCTGCGCGGGCGAAGGCGAGGGCGCCCAGGAGATCGTAGCGTGCACCAGGTGTGGCGCATACAGAGTGCTGGGCAGCCGCGCAGGAGGCAAGTCTCGCCTGAGGGCGCAGTGCCCAGGGCCCAGTCACCGGACGAGCAAGTCGGGCAGGAACCAGCGCAGCCTGTGGGAGCGAGGGCTCCATCCGAGTGGCAGGCTTCGAGCGGACAAGCAGGGAGTCAGAGCAGCAAGCATCCCTGCCTTGCGCTCGCAGGGGCCAGTGCCTGGACGCGCCCAGGAGCGCTACCTGGAGTGGCTCGGCGTGGAGGCGGGGCCCTCAGGCGGAGCCGTAGCCGCGGCCAGCAGTTCGGGCAGCGGCCCCGCGGCCACCGCGGCAGCACAGGGAGACGAGGCGTCGGCGGCCAGCCTGCCCCTGCAGCGGCCAGGCCCGAGCGCGGGCGCCCTCGGAGCTGGCGAAGCCGCAGAGGAGGAGCTCGCAGCCGCGGACGCCGCGCCAAGCGGCGGCCTGGTGAACCGCAGGGTCCGCCGCCGCCTGGCGCGCCGTGGCTCGGCATACTCGGAGTTCCACCTGGAGTGGCTCGGCAGTAAGGCGGAGCCTACAGGCGGAGCCTCAGCCGCGGCCAGCAGTCCGAGCAGCGGCCCAGCGGCTCCCGCGGCTGAGCAAGCAGTGAGACGGCCGCGAGCAGCACGGTGAGCGGAAGGCAAGTGAGCCGCAGGGTCAGCCGCCTTCTGGCGCACCGCAGTTCGCCGTCCGCGAGTGAGTGAGTTAGGAATAAGCATCGTTCGCTCTCGTGTGTTGCCCTAGGGTGTGTAGGCACGCGAGGCGCCCTCTGCTGTGTGGGGCTCCTGTGTTCTGTCGCGGTCGAGTTCCCTTGGAGCGGTGGCCCAAGGCGGCCCCGCTGGGTGTCCGTGAGGCGGCCCAAGGTGGCCCCTCTCGGGTGGGTGGCCCTGCGGGGCCCCCGCGGGCGGCGGCCCTAGGCGGCCCCCCCGTGCTGGCGTTTCTTTGGCCTTTTGGCCCACCTCTTTGCCTTGAAGGCCCCGTCTTTAACTTTAACTTTAACCGCACAGGAGCTCTGTAGAGCATGCAGGAGCACGGCTGAACACACAGAACATCTATTCACACAGCCGCACCCTACAGGCACACGCACATAGGCACACGCACGCAGGCACACGCACATGCACACGCACGCACACACAGACACACACACACACACTTACACAGAGAGGCAACATACGTTCACGCAGACCGCAGGAGCACGGCAGAGCAGCACAGCCCAACACAGCAGTGCCGCAAACCACCACGCACGGACACACATGCACATATTCCACGCACGCACGCGCACGCGCAAACGCACGCACGCCACGACATACCTGCGCGGCAGACCAACCAACGAGCATATTTCACATACCTAGTGGACAAAAGCGACGCTTCCCGTTCTTGTCTGGTCCGGTTTTGCATGCGTTTTGGTACGTTTGTGGGCCCCACACGGGGGGGCTGCCATTTTGGTCCGCTTGCGTGGTGCGACTCTGGTGTGGCTCTGCCGTAGCCATTCTGGCTCAAGTTCAGGTTTTGGCCCGCGCAGTTCGCCTTTTGCCTTGCCTCATGACGGTGCGCACATTTGTAGGTGTAAACGCACCTGTCATTCTGCTCGCGCTAATCCTCCACCATGCGGCGGGCGCCGAAAGCTCGTTGCCCACGGGTGTCCCCGACTTGGGCGTGGACGACACGCTTTTATTTTTCTTGCGGGACGACAAGAACACTGACGACATGCCAGACTCGCCCGAGGACATCGCGGCTGGTTTTTGCAATTCCAACGCGATGTATCTTGGGAACAGTGCTCTTTCGTCAGTGACCATTCCGAGCTTGCGTATGTGTGCTAGGGACTCGGTTGGAGGTGAGTCGCTCTGCTACGACGTGAAATCCGACGATTGGACATACACCGGGGGTGGCGTGCCCGGAGCGATGACTGCCAGCAACTATCACAAGATCATCGCTGCACTATCCGGGCAAATTCCAGATGGAGAGAATGACAACGGAGTTCATGGTAATTTTATAAATGAGCAGTTGACTTATTGGAACGGGCACTGCGAGACTACTTACTGCTGGATATGCCAGTCCATTCGCTCTTGGACTGCAGTGCCTACGGATGGTTCGATCAGGCAGTGGTCGGGTGATTCCGCGCGGTGGCACACATGGGGCTACGGCTTGTCGCTCTTTCCAGATGGGATCCCGGGAGACCCCAGCTTCGAGTTTGGCTTCGGGAACCCTGCGAAGAATTACCTCTGCAGTGGAGATACTGTGCCATTCGATACTTTCTACATGACCACTGGCCCCCTCGTCGGCGTCCAGGTTCCACCGACTGCGACTGCTTGTGCGGTGCGCCCCACGCCGAGCCCGACGGTCTTCCAGGCGCTTCCCTTCTTGGGCGTGGGCGACACGCTTCTGTTTTTTTTGCGGGACGACAAGAACACTGACGACATGCCGGACTCGCCCGAGGACATCGCGGCTGGTTTTTGCAATTCCAACGCGATGTATCTTGGGAACAGTGCTCTTTCGTCAGTGACCATTCCGAGCTTGCGTATGTGTGCCAGGGACTCGGTTGGAGGTGAGTCGCTCTGCTACGACGTGAAATCCGACGATTGGACATACACCGGGGGTGGCGTGCCCGGAACGATGACTGCCAGCAACTATCACAAGATCATCGCTGCCCTATCCGGGCAAATTCCAGATGGAGAGAATGACAACGGAGTTCATGGTAATTTTATAAATGAGCAGTTGACTTATTGGAACGGGCACTGCGAGACTACTTACTGCTGGACATGCCAGTCCGTTCGCTCTTGGACTGCGGTGCCTACGGATGGTTCGATCAGGCAGTGGTCGGGTGATTCCGCGCGGTGGCACACTTGGGGCTGGGGCTTGTCACTCTATCCAGATGGGATCCCGGGAGACCCCAGCTTCGAGTTTGGCTTCGGGAACCCTGCGACGAATTACCTCTGCAGTGGAGATACTGTGCCATTCGATACTTTCTACATGACCACTGGCCCCCTCGTCGGCGTCCAGGTTCCACCGACTGCGACTGCTTGCGCCGTCCCCCAGGCGACCGCGTCAGCCGACGGCGCGGCCGCCGTCGGCGACCCCCACTTGCGCAACGTTCGCGGCGATCGGTTCGACCTGATGCGGGCGGGCCGGCACGTTCTCATAACCATCCCTCGTGGAATGAGCGCGGAATACGCATTGCTTCGCGTGCAGGCCGATGCGCGCCAGTTGGGCGGCCATTGCGCGGACATGTATTTTCGAGAACTGAACGTCACAGGGTCGTGGGCAGAGGCAAAGCAAGCCGGGGGATACCGCTTCAGCGCGCAACATTATCACGTCGAGGCTCCAGGGTGGGTTGTTTTTGGTAAGGTTGAGTTGAAGGTGGTGCAAGGACGCACATACAGCGGCGACTTTTATTCTCGGGCTTGCGTCGCACCGCCGACCTCGTGGGGGGCTCCTGGTAGGCATCTCGGGGGCCTCCTGGTACCACTTGCGGCCTTCTAGGGGCTGTTTGGGGGCCTCTGGTGGGCCTCTGGTGGGCCTCTTGGAGCCTCTTGGGGGCTTCTTGGGGGCCTCTTGGGGCCTCCCTGGAGGCTTTTCGGGGCCGAGGGCTCGAGGCTTCTTGGAGGAAGGGGGAGGAAGAGGAGGAGGAGGAGGAGGAGGAGGAGGAGGAGGAGGGAGGAGGAGGAGGAGGAGGAGGAGGAGGAGGAGGAGGAGGAGGAGGAGGAGGAGGAGGCCCCCTCCTGGAGCCTTCTTGGGGGCCTCTTGGGCCGTCTTGGGGTCCTCTTGGGCCGTCTTGGAGCCTTCTTGGCGGCTTCCTGGGCCGTCTTGGGGCGATCTTGGAGGCCTCTTGGGTCGTCTTGGACGTTGTGAAAGCCCAAGGGGCGAACGTGCTAAAATCATACGTTTCTCAAAGTGAATCGGACGATTTTTGCGTCTGGGGGCCCTCTTGGGACGCCTCTTGGGGGCCTCTTGGGGCGTCTCGGGGGCCTGTTGGGCCTCTTGGGGCCATCTTGGGTGTCTTGGAACGATCCATCGGCGACTCGAGGCCCTCTTGGACCATCTCGTGGGCCTCTTGGGGCCCTCATGGCCCGTCGTGAGACCCGCGATGCGTTTAGCCGGGGCCGGCCGGATCCCCCCTTTCAAACCGACCGGGCCGTGCCCGGGGGGAGGGGTTTAGTGAGGGGGGAGCATCTCACGCGCCGATGACCCCCAGGGGTCGGCGGATTTGAATTTCTACGCGAAGCATTTACGACGAGCAGGGTTTGCTGTCGGAGGTCTTCTGGGCGAGGACGACCACAGTGAAGTCAGCACGGCCCTGGTTGGGTGCAAAAAGACTTTGACTCTCCAGAAGGTGCCCGTCCATCAGCACAATAGCGGTTCCTCACCGGCCTCGGTTGCAGATGGAACATTCGCATGACGATCCATTTCCAGGATTTGTTTGTCGCCCGTTTGCAAGCAGTCCCGACTCGAGGCAGTTTTTGTTCATCCTCGTCTCCCAGCGAGGCGCGCAGCACGATCGACGCAGTGTTCACCAGCCAAAAGTTTGAAGCTTCAGTGTTTGTCATGTTTGCAGGCGTTGTCCAGCTTGTCAAAGCAAGCTGCCGTCGCGCAGCGGTGCAACATTGAATGAGGTATTGCGAGAATTGCGGCCAGTACCGCCGACCCTGAGAACGACGAAGATGAAAACGAGGGGGGGCAGGGGGAGGAGGATGAGTGGGAGGTGGAAGAAGGGTGGGGGAGGTGGATGAGAGAGGAGGAGGAGGGAGAAGGATGTGGAGGAGAAGCAAGAGGAGGAGAAGGAGGCAGAGGGGAGCAGGAGGAGGGGGAGCAGAGGGGGGGGGGAGGAGGAGGAGGAGGAGGAGGAGGAGGAGGAGGAGGAGGAGGAGGAGGAAGAAGAGGAGGAAGAGGAGGAGGCCAGAGACTTTCTTGGGACAGCCTGGGGCTCTCTTGAGGCCATCTTGGGCCGTCCAATGCTCCTCTTGCACCGTCTCGAGGCACTCTTGGAGGCCTCCTGGGCAATTTGGGGCTCTCCTGGGCTGTCTTGGGACAATCTTGGGGGACTCTTGGGCCGTTTTGGAGGCGTCTTGGGCCGTCTTGGGGCCCTCTTCGGCCGTTAGGGGACCCTCTTGGGGGCCTCTTGGGCCGTCTCGAGGCGATCGTGGGGGCCTCTTGGGCCGTCGTGGAGCGTCAGGAAACGTTGGGAAATTCATGAATTTTGCCTCTTGGGGCTCTCGTGGGAAAGCTCCTGGAGGCCTGTTGGGGCGCTTTGCAGGCCTCTTGGGCCGTCTGGAGGCCGTCAAGGCGTCCTGGACAGATCGTTCGGCGATCCAGGATTCCCTTGGACTGTCTCTGGGGCCTCTTGGGGCACTCTTGGCCCGTCTTGGGACTTCTTTGGGCTCCAGGACTCCCCGGGGGGGCGTCGTATCTTGACCCCCCCCCCCCCCCCCCCCCCCCGGCGGGGAAGGGATCGAAGGGAAGGGGCCTTCCCTCCGACTCCATTACGACGTCGCTCCACTTCGTTTCGGTTGGCGCGCCGAGGAGGTCCCTGGACAAGGGGGAGCCTCGACTGGCCCAGGGGAAGGGGGAGGCGGGTACAGGGGACGACAGAGACGACGACCAACGGATGACGGAGATGACGACTTGAACAGACAAGCCCCTCACACACGCCGACAGGGTCGGCGGATTTTCCTTGACGCGACATTTCCCGGCCAGCGCGAAGCTGTCTCATACGGATGATCGTGCTGGCGCATGTTGCCAGATGTTCAGGTCGCTACCTTCGCAGTTTTTGTTTGGATCTACAGAGAAGTCGATTCCCAAGAATGATTACAGGAGTAAGATAATCGCTTCTTTCATGCAGAATTGCTGCTTCCCGATTGCTTGAATCATGGATGACGGGAAGCGCGAACGAGGAACGAGGAGCGTGGACCGTTTCTCTTAAGGAAAACCTTTATATGGGTCTCGGGGCTGCATCTCGGACGGGCGTTGGCGGATGACGGGAAGCGCCCCTGGCGTGGACCGTTTGTTGGTGGTAAAAATTAATAATCGGGTACGCGCCGCACTTTGAAATTGCGCTGGCGGATTTTTGACGGGAAGCGTCTTCGAGGTACGAGAAGCAAGCGGGACGTTCTGGCTGAATCCTTGAGTAAATATATCTTTTCTTTAACTATATGGGTTGCCGCGCTGCACGGGAATTTTCGTTGGCGGATTCCCCAAAATGGCCATTTCGCTCGAGACATCCTCCAAAAATCGAGGTGTTGGAGGCTATCGTTTAAGACGTCTTAGGAACCGAGAGGAGCACGGCAGACCAAGACGAGGAGCACGGCAGACCAGGCACCAAGAGCGCCCTCAAGACGACGGAAAGGATGACCAAGACGAGGAGCACGGCAGACCAAGACGAGGAGCACGGCAGACTATGCCCTAAGAGTGCCCTCAAGACGGCCGAACAATCATCAAACAAACAATGAGTCTAACGTCGTCTATGCTCCCGTGGTCTGCCTCGCTGGTCTGCCCGGCGCCGACTTGATGTGCTGGTCTGCCGTGCTGGTCCGCCGTGCTGGTCTGCCGTGCTGGTGTGGTCTGCTGTGCTCCTGCCGTCTGCCGTGCTGCTCTTGTCGTGCTGGTCTGCCGTGCTGAAGCTGCAGCTCGGGGCCCTGAAGGCGAGGAAACAAAAGGGGGGGAGGAAGTTCTCTCTCTTCCAAACCCGCGGAGGGGCCACCAGGGGGTCCAGGGGCCCGGCAGGCCGAAAGGCTCCACGTTGGCCGACGCCCACCCACCCGGGCCTCGCCTCCTCTGAAACCTCACTCGCTTGGCGGGCCCCTCGACCATGACGACGACGAGTTGCGCATCCCAAGACGACCTCACAACCCGCGAGCGAAGCACACAAAAGCGTGACATCTGCGAGACCAGAAACATGCAGGGCGTGAGAGCTCGGCCGGGCCAAAACCATGCAGAGGACCACCCTGTCAGTCGCTGTCCTCCTGCCGCGCTCCGCGGCTCTGCAGGCGGCGGCGGACTCGGCGGCGCTCCTGCCCGCTGGCCGCTGCCTCCGCCCGCTGGCCGCCAACTTGGGCCTCGTCGAGGCCGCTCGCCGCGAGGAGGCCAGCGCGGCCTCCCTGGGCGGGGGCCGCAGATCAGGTGGGGAAAAAACACACAGTCACAATTAATCTTCGATTCCCCAGAAAATATGGGAAAATATGGGAAGTGGGGGGCAAGACAGAAACCCGAAAAATATTAGAAAATATGGGGAATATGTTTATTAGTGTGTATTTATTTGTGTGTCCTGGGGCCCCTTCAGCAGAGGCCGCAGGCCCATCGGCGGAGGCCTCGAGGGCCTGGGCCAGTGGCGCCTGCTGGGGCGCCGGCAAACCCGGGGCTGTGGGGCCTCCTGCCCCCCTGGTTTGCCCGGCCCTGGCGCGGCAGCGCCCGGCCCGCTCGGGGCGCCCGCGCTCGCCGCAGCGCTCGTCGCGGCGCCTGCCGGAGCTGCCGCCGCCTCGCCCTCGCCCTGGAGGCCGAGCTGGGCGAGGTGGCGCTCCTGCGCGTCCTCGGGGAGAAGCCCCTGCTGCCGCAGCGGCGGTGCCTCGGCTCCTGGCACCCTCTTGCCACGCAGGCGCGGGGCTCCTCCAGGGTGCTGGCCCCTCTCCCAGAGGCGCAGCTGGTTCTGGCCGCTCTTGTCGGGCGCCTTGCCTGGGCAGGGCTCCTTGAGCCTCGGCTTGCCCCCGCTGCGGCCGCCCAGCAGCGCGTGCAGGCCAGCACCTCCGTGCTGGTCTGCCGTGCTGGTCTGCCGTGCTGCTGTGGTCTGCTGTGCTCCTGTCGTCTGCCCGTGCTGGTCTGCCGTGCTGCTGCGGCCTGCTGTGCTCCTGTGCTCCTGTTACCTTGCCTCTGTGTGGTCTCCCGTCGAGAGCACACAGAGGCGGCAAGATGCGTTCACGCCTCGTCTCGGTTCAAGGCCGTCGATCGCCAGGCCACTACAATTCGAACAATCATGCCTCGCGCCCTGGTTCAAACGGCCGCGACGTGTGGCGAGGCTCGGTTCAAACGGCCACACCTCGGTTCAGCCCGCCACGCCCGGATCAAACGACCACGCCGCTACGATTCGAACGGCCATGTCGCGCCCCGCCCCGTCTCGCCCGCCCAGCACACACCCTGCACACACGCTCGCACACATGCACAGAGCTGCACACAGCCGCACACACAGGCACACGCCCACAGGCACACGCACACACACGCACACGCTCACTTTCGCTCTCTCTCTCTCTCTCTCTCTCACGCACACACACACACGCACAGGCAACATACGTTCACGCTGACCGCAGGAGCACGGTAGACCAGCACGGCATAAAAGAGCATTGCTGCGGACCACCTCGCACGGACGCACATGCACATATTCCACGCACGCGCACGCGCAAGCGCAAACGCACGCACGCCACGACAGACCTGCGGGGCAGACCAACACAACAGAGCACATTTCACACACCTAGTGGGCAAAAGCGACGCTTCCCGTTCTTGTCCGGTCAGGTTTTTGAAAATGGCCGTTTCTCTCGAGACATCCTCCAAACATCGGCCCAAGAGGGGGCTCAGCATCGACGTCGTGTTCGAATCGCTCTTGGATTGTTTTCCTTTTGCCCAAGGGAGGCCCAAAAGACGCCCCGGAGAGCCCCAGGAGCGCCCAAGAGCGCCCCACGAAGACCCCAAGAGACCCCCAAGAGCGCTCTAGGAGCCACCCAGACAGCTCAAAAGAACCCCAAGACTGCCCCAGAAGGGCCAAGAAGGCCCCAAGAGACTCCCGGGAGCGTCCCAGGAGGCCCCCAGCGCCGAGACTGCCTAAGAAATCTCCCACGGAACCCCACGACGCGCCCAGACAGCCCAAGAAGACCCCAGAAGCCCATAAGAGGACCCAAGGGCCCCCCAAGAAGCCCCCAACAGGCCCCAAGAGATCCCCGCGCGGAGCCAGGAGTAACGTCTTTCTCCAATTGCCTCGTACTGTCCTCCGTCGTCGTCGTCGTCGTCGTCGTCGTCGTCGTCGTCGTCGTCGTCGTCGTCGTCGTCATCATCGCCCTCCGCATTCCTCCTCGTGCTCGCCCTCGTTCTCTTCGTCCTCGTCCTTGTGCTTCTCTTCCCTCCTCGCTATCCTCACGTTCGCCACGTCGTCCTCGTCATCGACTCCTCATTGTCCTCGCCTTCCTTTTCTTCTTTGCCCAAGACGCCCATTTGACTACAGCGGCGCTTCCCGTTCTTGTCCGATCAGGTTTCTAAAATGGCCGTTTCGCTCGGGACGTCCTCTAAAACATGGAGTTGGCGTTGGCTCCAGACCGCCTTTGTGTTCAGATCGCTCTTGGAGCGCCCAAGAGAGCCTCTAGAAGACCACAGGACGGCTCCAGAGGGGTCGCATGACGGCCCCAGAGGCCTCCAAGAGCATTC